TGGGGGGTTCCTTGGGGGGGGCCCTCTTAAGGTTTGGGGGCCAAAAAACCCCACGGGGCTTGGGGTTTTTGGGCCCTGTGGGTTTCCCCAATTTTGGTTATTCCTAGGGGGCATTTTTTTCCCCCCAACCTCCTAAAAATTTTCCTAAGTTTAAATTTATCCACAAATTATCCCTTTGCCCCTTTTGGGGACCCTATTTAGGGCCCCCAAAAATAAAATTTTCCCCCCAATGTTCCCAAGTCCAATTTAAAAATTCCCCAAAATAAAATTTATATTCCAAAAATTAAATTCCCCCCCCCTTTAAAAGGGTCCCTTTTTCCCTTTTTTGCCCAAAATCTTTTTCCTAGGGCCCAAGGTCCTATTTAAATGCCAAAAAAGGGGGGCACTTTTCCCCCCCCAAAAAAGGGGGTCCTATTTATGCCCAAATACTTTTCCCCCCCCATTGCCCCAAAGGGGGGGGTTCCCAAATGAAAAAGGATCCTATTTCCATTCTATCCTAGGGGGTTTTCCTTTTGAAAAAAGTCTTTTTCCCCCCCATTGATAAAGGGGCCTTTCCCTTATGCCCAATGTTTTTTTTCCCCCCATTCCAAATTTAAATTTCCTCCTTTGTCCAATGTCCTTTTTTTGTCCTTTTCCCCCCAGAACCCAGGGGTCCCTTAAATGTTCCTATTTAAGGGCCAATTTTCATTTTTTCCCCCCAATGTCAAGTTTAATTTTTCCCCCCAATAAAAAAGTCAATTTTTCCCCAAAATGGGGGCCTATTTAAAGGGTCCAATAACACCCTTATGTCCAAAAGGGTGGCAACATTCCGTATAAAAAAATTTAACATTCTATGCCAAAAATGGGGCCCTTTTCCCTATTTGAAAAAGGGGGCCTATTCCCCCTATCCCAAGGGGCGGGCACTTTTAGGCCCAAGGGGCTTATTTTATTCCAAAATTTCAGTTAAGTATCCAAAAAAATTTTATTTAGGCCCCACCCAAAAACTGGGGAAGTTTTGGGGTTTCCTTAAAAAAGGGTTCCCAAGGGTCTTTATGCCCTTTTTATGCCCAAAACCCGCTATGTCCAGGGGTTAGCCTTATCCCAGTGGGGTGCATTCAGGGAAAAGTTTTTTTTTTAGGGGGAATATAGTGCATGAGGGCTAATTAAAAAAAAAGGGGGGCGTGCAAATCGAAAGTGCTTTACTCATAAAACACAAGAGCGGGGGGTTTTGCGACACTTTATAAAAAAAATTTTAGGATAAAAAAAAAGCCCGCGGGAACCCCATTGGGGCCCTTTTTTGTTGCTTTGGGCTCTCTATATTTCCCTCGTTTGTGATTTTCCCCTTCTAGGAGGAGGACAAAACTCCCTTTTCCGGATACATTTTTTACGTCTTTTACACTTTTTTTGGGGGGGAAATTTTCAAAAACCCCGGTGACTCCAACCGGGGTGCAGCTGTTACGGTAGCCAATCATTTCTAACTTCGCTTTTTCCCATTTAAGGTGGGCTCCACCAACCCAAATGGGAAATTTTCATTTTAAAGGACCCCCCCCCCTCCCTTTTGGGGAAAATTGGGCCCCTTTTGGGGGGGGGGGGGGGGGGGGTTACCCAAAATTTGACGGTACCCGCTCCCATTTCCTGCCCGATCGCACATAGGCAATCGGAAGATAACGGATGGTGTCTATTCACACCTCCTCACTTTAGTCTTTTGGGACATGTTGACACTGTTCCTCATGGGATTTACAGGACCATTCATGGAAGCGCAGTGATACTCGCGAATGCGCAGTGGACCTGTTTACAGTGGGGTACCCGGCAAGCTACTCACAGCCGTTGATAACCCACACTGAAGATGCCGGCCTCCTGGCAATGCAGGACAGCCAGTAGTGTGAAGAGGACGAGCTGCCGGGGGACCACACCACGGGCACTGTAGGGTACAGGTTAAGTGGGCTGTTTTTTTTAAAAGTCAGCTGCTACTGTTTTTGGTACAGTTTTTGTAATGCTGCTGACTTTTTATTATTTGACATAACATACCTGGAAGCTTGATTGTTTCTTTCCAGTGCAGGAGCTGCACACAGATTTTGCGACCCTCCAGTTTTATGTAAATAACCGCCCATTGCGGTCATTTTAGTGACAGAATTAACTATGTTCCTGTCTTCGAGGAATAAAACAGCCATGGATTCTTGGCACCTCGTGTCGCTCCCTGTCCTTGGATTGGGTCTTTGTCTTGCAGATCGAAGGAAACTGATTCTGGAACGCATGGTGGATTGGTTTTTAGGTTGCGGCCAAGCTGTCTCACTAATTGGATCGCCATTCATACGGCTTACTAATGTTTGGGATATTAGGAATTTGGTGTGTTTTATTTTGTGCAGTCATAAGCCTTACGAGGAGCAGATAGGCCCAGGGAACATGTGCTGGAAGATCTGTCTGACGGTAGATTATCTAACACCAGCAGCGGGGGGGGGGGGGTTGGGGGGGTAAGGAGGGACAAGGATAAGAGATGTGTCGTAAACTTTTCATTGTGACCATTAAGACTGGCTGGGTAATTGACCACAAAAAGATTATGGTAGGAAAGGCACAAGGCTGCCGACGAAAAAGTTGAGCGGATGTGTTTTTTGAAGGTGATATGTGGGCATAATAATAACATGGCCAAAGTTTCCCTACCGTAAGCCAAATTTGTTTGGATTGTATGGAGAAGGGTTACAACATTTATCTACAGATTTTAAGACAATAGCTGTCCACCTTGCCCAAGTTATAGGGCCCCATGGTCCCTCACTCCCTTCCCCCGATCCCCTTATACTCATCTGATTTGTCTGCCTTTGCTGCTCCATCCTTGGGTGCACCAAGGCTTCCATGTATGGGAGAGCAATGTGACCTCATCCTTGTGTGCAACTGCTGCTAGGTCTGAGAACTGTCACTTATGAGGAAGTGATGTCATTGCTCCCCCAGGTCGCGGCATCGCTATTGCTATTGTCAGCCATGGAGGAAGGAGAGGCCAAAGGAAACACAGGGCATCAAAAGTATAAGGGGGTTGGGGGGGCTTTGCAGAGACATTGTCACTCATGGTCATGGTGTCAACTTCCTGTGATTGCCAGCTCCATCTAATGGCCGTAATGGGGTACTTTACTTATTGAAGTATTTTAGAAAAATACGGCATTATGGCCACTAGATAGCGCTGAATTTCCAGCGTTTTTGCTTTCCTGTGTGAATTCCACACCGCATCAGAATCGCACCCTGGTCATGCGAACCACTGCAGGTGTGTATGTTACCAACACCCCGGAAATGAAAGCGGTCCGCAAAATGCAATGTGCAGAATCGGATCCCATAGGTGTGACTACCCTTTGCGATCCGATTCTAATGCGGACCCAAAAAAGGGTCCTGCACGTTTTTGGTGTTGGGTGCGGTGCGATTAGAGCCATACAAAATGTACGACTCCGATCGCACCGCACACAAATCGCATGTGATCTGCACAGGAATGCGGTGCAGTTCTTGTACGAATCACATGCGATATACCGCACCACATATATTTGAACCCGAGGCTCATTGTCAAAAGTATTTGGTCACCGCTAATTCCACACACATGACCTTTAATGGCCCCCCAGTCTTAGTCTGTAGGTTTCAATAGTGAGTTGGCCCCGCCCTTTCCACGCACATGACCTTTAATGGCCCCCCAGTCTTAGTCCGTAGGGTTCAAATACTTGAGTTGGCCCCGCCCCTTTGCAGCTATAACCAGCTTCAACTCTTCTGGGAAGGCCGTCCACAAGGTTTAGGAGGGTGTCTATTGGAAGGTTGGACCATTCTTCCAGAAGCACATTTTGTCAGGTCAGGCACTGATGTCGGTCGGGGAGGAGGCCTGGCTCGCAGTCTCCGCTCTAATTCATCCCAAAGGTGTTCTATGGGGTTGAGGTCAGGGACTCTGTGCAGGACAGTCAAGTTTTCCTCCACCCCAAACTGGCTCCCTCCATGTCTTTATGGACCATTGCTTTGTGCACTGGTGGGCAGTCATGTTGGAACAGGAAGGGGCCATCCCAAACTCTTCCCACAAAGTTGAGAGCATGAAATTGTTCCAAAATGTCGCCTTAAGAGTTCCCTTCACTGGAACTAGGGGGCCAAGCCCAACGCCCTGAAAAAACACCCCACACACCATAATCCCCCTCCACCAAACTTTACACTTGGCACAATGCAGTCAGGCAAGTACCGTTCTCCTGGCAACCACCAAACCCAGGACACATCCATCGGAATTGCCAGACAGAGAAGTGTGATTGGTCCCTCCAGAGAACACGTCTCCACTGCTCTAGAAGTCCAGTGGCGGCGTGCTTTTTACACCAAGGTCATCTGACGCTTTGCATTGCACTTAGTGATGGAAGGCTTTGGATGCAGCTGCTCGGCCAATGGAAACCCATTCCATGAAGCTCTCTACGCACTGTTGTTGTGGCTCATCTGAAGGCCACACCAAGTTTGGAGGTCTTTAGCTATTTACTCTGCAGACAGTTGGCAACTTCTGCGCACTGTGCGCACTTCAGCATGCACTGACCCCACCCTGTCATGTGACGTGGCCTACCACTTGGGGCTGAGTGGCTGTTGTTCCCAGTGGCTTCCACTTTGTTATAATCCCACTCACAGTTGAGCGTGGAATAATTTAGTAGCCAGGAAATGTCACGGATGGACGGGGGGGGGGGGGGGGGGGGGGGGGGGGGGGGGGGGGGGGGGGGGGGGGGGGGGGGGGGACTTATGTTGCCCAGGTGGCCACCTATCATGGGACTCACGCATGGAGTCACTGAGCTCCTGAGAGCGACCCATTCTTTCACCAATGTTTGTAGAAGCAGTCTGCATGCCTAGGGGCTTGGATTGTATACACCTGTGTCCTATGGAGGGGATTGGAACACCTGAATCACATGATATGGAGGGATTGGAACACCTGAATCATATGATGTAGGGAGGGGAATTGGAACACCTGAATCACATGATTGGGAGGGGATTGGAACATCTGAATCACATGATTGGGAGGGATTGGAGCACCTGAAATCACGATTGGGAGGGAATTGGAACACCTGAATCACATGATTGGGAGGGGATTGGAACACCTGAATCACGATTGGGTTGGGAGGGGATTGGAACACCTGAATCACAATTGGGAGGGGATTGGAACACCTGAATCACATGATTGGGAGGGGATTGGAGCACCTGAATCACTCATGATTGGGAGGGGATTGGAGCACCTGAATCACATGATATTGGGAGGGGATTGGAGCACCTGAATCACATGATATGGAGGGGATTGGAACTCCTGAATCACATGACTGGGAGGGGATTGGAGTAGCACCTGAATCACATGATATGGGCGGGGATTGGAACACCTGAATCACATGACTGGGAGGGGATTGGAACACCTGAATCACATGATTGGGAGGGGAATTGGAACACCTGAATCACATGATTGTGAGGGGATTGGAGCACCTGAATCACATGATTGGGAGGGGATTTGTAGCACCTGAATCACATGATATGGAGAGGGAATTGGATCACCTGAATCACATGATTGGGGAGGGGATTGGAACACCTGAATCACGATTGGGAGGGGATTGGAACACCTGAAATCACATGATATGGAGGGGATTGGAACACCTGAATCACATGATTGGGAGGGGGATTGGAACACACTGAATCACATTGATTTGGAGGGGATTGGAGCACCTGAATCACATGATTGGGAGGGATTGGAACACCTGAATCACAATTGGGAGGGGATTGGAGCACACTGAATCACATGATATGGAGGGGATTGGAACACCTGAATCACATGACTTGGAGGGGATTGGAGCACCTTTGAATCACAATGAATGAGGGGGATTGGAACACCTGAATCACATGATTGGGGAGGGGATTGGAACACCTGAATCACATGATTGGGAGGGGGATTGGGAGCACCTGAATCACATGATTGGGAGGGGATTGGAACACCTGAATCACATGATATGGAGGGGATTGGAGCACCTGAATCACATGATTGGGAGGGGATTGGAGCACCTGAATCACCATGATTGGGAGGGGATTGGAACACCTGAATCACATGATTGGGAGGGGATTGGAACACCTGAATCACATGATTGGGAGGGGATTGGAGCACCTGATACTTTGGGCAATATATTGTATATGCCTGTATAGTAGTATTCAATATTTGTATCATCTACATGATGTCCCTTTTCTGTTCAGTTTTGTTTAAAAAAAACAAAAAAACTACCAAAAGGCTCTGCTGAGTAAAACGCACATATCTCCAGCCCATAATTAAAATGCTTTGCGTGTTTTCATACGTTGCCCACACCGCTCATTTCAATTGCATTTTTTTTTTTTCTTGTAATTTCTCCACTAGAAAGCGAGTTGACAATTATTGTTGAATGGAGCTAATTTTCTGCTAAGTTACTTGTTGCGGCTGCGGTAATTAATTCCGCCATGTTTGTGTTTCTGCTCACAGTGCAGTTTGATGATTGTCAAGGTAACGAAGAGGTGATATACGAAGTCTCCAATCCCCACTTTAAAGTGGAAGCCGATGGATCATTAATTGCCCTGAGAAACGTCACGGAGAACATCCGGGCTTTGTTCAATCCACGGACGCTCTCCGCACTCCGACGACATGGCCGAAGTGAAGATCCTCGGCAGGAAGGACAGACATAACTCCATAAAGGTGAATGTGGGTTCAATCTTCGTCTTGTATGAAGAATCTATGAAAGGGAAAGTATCCTAGTTTGGGAAGGTCTAGAAATTGTCATAAATATGCCGCCACTTAGGGCGTTACTAAACCCACAACCAGGGGCTGACTGACCATTTGGAAACTCGGGCACTGCCCGAGGTCAGTAGGGGGCCCCATGAGATGCCCCTGGTACCTTTTTCATAGGCTTTTTTGAGTTTTGGACAAGGACACAGGGGCCCCATGATCCCCTATTGCCCAGGGCCCATGAGTTTGTCAGTCCGCCCCTGCCCACAAACAGTACAATCAGTCTGTAGATGCAGCAAAGCATGCTGGTTATACTATACCTAAGGGGTTAATCATCCACATTGTTTAAAATCATGTCTTCTATGATCCTCCCCTTCTTTCACAGTCCCAAATCCATCTGCTGATAGTACAAAGCTCTATGAGGCACTCTGTGCATGCTCAGTTTGGTGTGTATTGCTAGAGAGTTTTTTTTTCTTTTCATGTGATCAGCACAGGGCCAATCAGCATTGTCCGGACAGAGGGTCAGTGTTAGGCAGCCTCATAGGACAATCAGGGGAGAATGAAAACTTCTACAAGTTTTAACCAGTGCTCTGCTGGATGCTGATAGAAGTCGCAAGATGAAGTCTCTATACTGCTGATGAGAAAAGGGATTTAGCAGTTTATATTTACTAAAATAATTGCATTTCCATGTTCTGTGAAACCGGATATAGTGAATTCAGGGTGTGGGGAGAGCAGATATAGTGAATGCGGGGTACGGGGAGAGCGGATACAGTGAATGCGGGGTCCGGGGAGAGCGGATATAGTGAATGCGGGGTCCGGGGAGAGCGGATATAGTGAATGCGGGGTCCGGGGAGAGCGGATATAGTGAATGCGGGGTCCGGGGAGAGCGGATATAGTGAATGCGGGGTCCGGGGAGAGCGGATACAGTGAATGCGGGGCCCGGGGAGAGCGGATATATAGTGAATGCGGGGTCCGGGGAGAGCGGATATAGTGAATGCGGGGTCCGGGGAGAGCGGATATAGTGAATGCGGGGTCCGGGGAGAGTGGATACAGTGAATGCGGGGTCCGGGGAGAGCGGATACAGTGAATGCGGGGTCCGGGGAGAGCGGATACAGTGAATGCGGGGTCCGGGGAGAGCGGATACAGTGAATGCGGGGTCCGGGGAGAGAGGATATAGTGAATGCGGGGTCCGGGGAGAGCGGATATAGTGAATGCGGGGGTCCGGAGAGAGCGGATATAGTGAATGCGGGTCCGGGGAGAGCGGATATAGTGAATGCGGGGTCCGGGGAGAGCGGATTTAGTGAATGCGGGTACGGGGAAACCAGGATATAGTGAATGCGGGGTCCGGGGAGAGCGGATATAGTGAATGCGGGTACGGGGAGAGCGGATATATTGAATGCGGGTACGGGGAGAGCGGATATATTGAATGCGGGGTCCGGGGAGAGCGCATATATTGAATGCGGGTACGGGGAGAGCGGATATATTGAATGCAGGGTCTGGGTCACTATATAATGTGGAGGTGGGGTTGGTGTGTCCTTTCCCTCCACTCAGGTCTCAGAATACACTCCCTACCCAATAATCTACAATTCTGTTCAGCAATCTTTGTGATTCTGGCAACCCCACCAGACAGTGAGGCACTGGGTGTACAAGGAGGAAAGCCTCTGCACGCAGGTCTCAGTTTACACTCAGTTCCCTATCCAATGATCTATAATTCTGTTATCCTAGCTTTGTGATCCAGGCAACCCCACCAGACAGTGAGGCACTTGGTGAACAAGGAGGAAAGGCTCTGCACTCAGGTCTCAGATTACACTCAGCTCCCTACCCAATGATCTACAATTCTGTTCACCTAACACTGTGATCCTGGCAACTCCTCCAGAGAGTGAGGCACTGGATGTACAAGGAGGAAAGCCTGTGCACTCAGGTTTCAGATTACACTCAGCTCCCTACCCAATGATCTACAATTCTGTTCACCTAGTCTTGTGATCCAGGGAACCCCACCAGACAGTGAGGCACTGGGTGTACAAGGAGGAAAGGCTCTGCACTCAGGTCTCAGATTATACTCAGCTCTCTGCTCTGTGACATGCAGTGTGTGATGGCACATCCCCACCCCCAGCCTGCTGGAGCTGAGAAAAAGCATTTGATATGTGTGATTTAGAAGGCTGTAGAGGAAAGAGAGGGCTTCCGATAAAAAGGAGTTACCTACCAGTTCTGAGCGTTGTAGAAGTTACATCAAGACAATAACTGACTAAAGTCGATGGATCTGCTATTCGATTTCTTTCCCCAAATTATACAATCGTCCCACTATCCTGAATAATCCTCCAAGAACTCAGCCCCTTCCCCCCCACCCCAGGCTGGAATCGTGAGCGATGGCTTCTCTCACCCCTTTGGCTTGACTCCTCCATTACCAGGTGTTTGCGATTTATTTTGCATTCGGCCGCCATAAACCAGAACGAAGCGGCCAACCAAATGGCCATTAAGGCCCCGTTATGATTACACGGAAAGCAATCAGTCTTCCCGCACCTCGATAATTTCCCTGTCCGAGATGTAATTGCTGTATCCAAGGATCGGACGGCGGCCTTTCACTGCGCGGAAGCCCCGGCTCTGCTTCCCATTACATTTCCAATCAGTGGACTTAATGCTTCATTTTATAGAGACAAATGCCGTTTAAATAAACTGCAGTAAAAACACAGAAGAACCATAAATATTTCATGAGGACGTGTTTTTTTTTTTTTCCGCTGATTAGGCTGTTATTTGCCGGACAGCCGGTGGCAGAGAATGGGACGGTCGGTCACTTGGCATGCTGAAGATGCAATGGGGCCTGAAGTTCATGGACAAGGCAGGAGGAATCTGAAGGATATAATGATTGACATGCAGAGGTGTTACATCGATGGCAAGTGCGGAGCTGATTGGCTCCAAGAGATGGCCTTCCGTCCTGGGCCGTCTTAATGGCGTCATGGGCCTCTGCGCAAAAACGCACTGGGACGCCTACCACACTGCCCCCAATTTATGCACCAACTCTAAAGAATTTAAGTATAAATAGCTGATGAAACATTTATTTATTAGTACTTTCAGTAAAATCAATTACATGTCATCTATCAAAGACTAATCAATGCAGAGGGCACAGTACAGGGGAGGAAGGAGGACACAATACTGGGATCAGGAGGGCACAATACTGGGATCAGGAGGGCACAATACTGGGATCAGGAGGGCACAATACTGGGATCAGGAGGGCACAATACTAGGATCAGGAGGACACAATACAGGGGGAGTCAGGAAGGCATAGTACAGGGGGAGGGAGGAGGGCACAATACTGGGATCAGGAGGGCACAGTACAGGGAAAGTCAGGAGGGCACAAAACTTGGATCAGGAGGCACAATGCTGGGATCAGGAGGGCACAATACTGGGAACAGGAGGGCACAGTACTGGGATCAGGAGGGAACAATACTAGGATCAGAAGGGCACAGTCCTGGGATCAGGAGGGAACAGTACTGGGATCAGGAGGGAACAGTACTGGGATCAGGAGGGAACAGTACTGGGATCAGGAGGGAACAGTACTGGGATCAGGAGAACACAATACTGGGATCAGGAGGGAACAATACTGGGATAAGGAGGGAACAATACTGGGATCAGGAGGGCACAGTACAGGGGGAGTCAGGAGGGCACAATATTGGGATCAGGAGGGCACAAAACAGGGGGGTCAGGAGGGCACAATACTAGGATTGGGGGACACAGTACAGCTGAGTCAGGAGGGCACAGTACTGGGATCAGAAGGGCATAATACAGGGATCAAGAGGGCACAATACTGGGGTCCGGAAGGTACAATACTAGGGTCAGGAGGGCACAATACAGGGGGAGGGCACAATACTGGAGTCAGGAGGGCACAATACTGGGATCAGGAGGGCACAATACTGGGGTCCGGAAGGTACAATACTAGGGTCAGGAGGGCACAATACAGGGGGAGGGCACAATACTGGAGTCAGGAGGGCACAATACTGGGATCAGGAGGGCACAATACTGGGGTCCGGAAGGTACAATACTAGGGTCAGGAGGGCACAATACAGGGAGAGGGCACAATACTGGAGTCAGGAGGGCACAATACTGGGATCAGGAGGGCACAATACTGGGATCAGGAGGGCACAATACTGGGATCAGGAGGGCACAATACATCTGAGCAGGATCTGAGACTGACGGCTTGGTGCCAGGTAACACAGCATACTTTTAATGGTCTACTGGAGTTCATGCCTTGATGGGTCAGGGCTGTTTTGGCAACAAAAGGGCCACCTACTCAATATTAGGTCATGTTATGGTAGGTGATCAGAAGATTTTGGTTGGTCAGTCCACACTTTAAGTCCAGTAACTGTCAATTGACCCAC